CTCATAAATAAAAAAGAAACAAAATTCACTTGGAAATTTAGTGTATGCATTCAAACTTTAAAATACATTAACATACTTGCCATATTTCACTTTGATGACCACCTTAAGAAGAAACAGTAAGAATCAAGAAGAAAAAAAAATTATGCATTCAAATGAACTCAAAATATCTACACTGTGGCTACAACTACAGCTTGCCAAAGCACATCTTCAACAGCATCTTATTATTAACTAAGAATTTCTGGTATGGAAGATATTTCTTTTACTGATAAATACTGAATATTTCTTCTGAAAAATTTGTAACAACAATAATTGACAAAAACATCTTTCCAACTCCACCTGCTCCCATCTGCTAATGTGCTTCCTTCACATAGCAATTTTATATTGAAAAAACACTAGACTGAAAACATAAATTTGAATTAGGCTTAGCATTAATTCGTAACTCATTTCATTGTGTGGATGTCAATGTACACATTTAATATTAAAGTGGTGGTTCATGACAGATCCTTTTTTGTTAGCAGTAAGCATGAGAAATTACTGAAATAATAAGGTTTTTTTTGTCACAGAAACAACTTTCATCAGCATTTTTTTTCTTTCAAAAAATGTTTAAAGTATTTTTCTAGGCTATTTCATTTCAGAAATTCTCTGCAACTGGAACATTTACATAAATTACACGTGTCATTCTTTCTACATTGGGAATATTAGGTCTTTAGGCAAATGTCTACTTATGAATGATAAAGACAATAGTTCTTCACAGGAGACAGAAAGCAACAGAAAGCGACCAACTAGCAGAATTAAATGTACTGTTACAAAGAAGGTGTTCATGGATGGAGCAGTGGATAGGTGTTTTGCTAGACTTGAAAAAAAATTCTGAAAACTAGCCTTGCTTGCTCATTTTAGCTGCAAGATAGAGCCTATGAACTTTCATTACATAGGGACCAAGTTATCTATTGTAACTACAAATCTGTAAGGATCTAACTTACTACTGAGGGTATTGTCTGGTTCAGTGTAACTAAACAATGGATAGCTAGGGAGGGGAAAGAAAATTAGCAAGTAAAGTAGAGAGAAACTTTCTCTTAAGCAAAATGTAGGGAGTGAAGGGAATGAAGTAGCAAGAGAGAAAAAACCCCACACTCTCATCTTAAAAGGACTATAACAAGTTCTTTAGGATCCTTCGTGATCAAAGATAACACTGAAAGAAACTTTGCACATTGAAGTAAAAGAACTGAACATCAGTGAGACTGATGATTGTGCAAAGTGAAATACTTTGAACATCTCTTGTCATTGAAATGAATTCTTGGCAATTATTAAAAACCTGTCCTCTAAACCTGCTTCCTTTGACTCTGACACACAACACTACCAAAAATTAAGTACTGATTACATCATTTATGTATGGGAGAAGTGAAGACTTCAACTTGAAAATTGCAATTTTCTTTTATATTAATTTGAACCCCCTATGAGCAGAACAAAGTCAAAGTTTGAAATAATGACTCAGTCATTTGCTCTGGATATATTCTTTTAAGTTATCTTAAGTTACAGATCAAAAGTTTTGTACTGTAAGCTTAAAAAACCCCCAAGAATCAACATTAATGAAAAAAAAAAGTCTCCATATTTGTAAAAGTAATTTACCCTAGGTACCCCTACTGCTTTTGTGTCTGAAAAGAATATTGTATTTTACTTCATGAAAATGCCAACCACAAACACAGACAAAAACATAGTGAGATCTGAGAATCTGAGCAGCTACTGCAATGAGAAGAAAAGCTTGTAAGCCACACTGTGTCAACTTAAACTTCTGTCATGTGAGTATTCAGCAAATTCATCTAACCTTGTTAAGAAAGCCTTGAAACTTTTAAATAATCAAAACTATATTGAACAAGACAAAAATATGTCACAACCACTATAAACTTTATGGCTGAATGACTGAAAAAGGGAGGACTGTTAGTGCAGTTTTCCTCTGAGTAAAGCTTAGATTGCCTCTATATGTGACTCCATCTACTACAAATATGGTTTAAATACTCTTTGTGCAATGGTCGATTTTGTTTGAAACTCAAACACAATTTCGAGAACAAGAAAGGTGTTCTAAAGAGATTTATTAAAAGCTAACAAAAGCTGGTTTGCTTAGTCTTGGGGATGTACCTAATCATTGACAAAGAGAAGTCTCAATGGCAATCTGCCTTAAAAAGTTCCTACCTCCTGAGAAATATAATTACTTATTTTGCCGGGAAATTGCATTTATGAAGACTGATTGAAATATCCAGGTTCCAGCTTAATATTTATCATTTAGTTCTTTGTTAGAAACAGAGATTTTCAGAAAACATGGATGGTAAGTTGTAAACAGTAAAGCAAATTTGCAATTTAATGTTGTATTTTGTCTATATGATCTGGTTGTATACATAAACAACATTAGGCTTCCCAAAATATGATTATGAAAAGGTAAAATATTCTAACAGATCAATCAGGAGCATCAGTAATATGTTCTCCCATACCTCTGCTCCAGTATCCTCATGCATTAGTAGCCTGCTACTTACAATCATTTAATAGAGGTGCTCCCATCATTGCAGAAGCTTGATTTTTATTTTTCTGAGACACACAGAGCTTTCTGTTATTCAGCAAGTTCAGTAAGAGACATTTAAGGGTTCATGTACACTTAGGACAAAAAAATACAGCAAGAAAATGGTACCAAAAAATAAACTGGAATATGCAGTTGACAAAGAAATACAGTGCCACTTGCTCTGTGGCTAGACCACCACTCCAAAAATAAGTATAATCAAAGAAATAATTTTTTTCCCCTGGCACTTCCTCATCTTTGTTTCATGTCATATATACATGTTTTGGAGCCCTGAAATGAGATCCTAAACCAGCAAATGAACGTTTTGAAAAGACACACACTTGCAGATTAAAAACAATCTTGGAACATCACCTGGATGCAGAAGTTCAATTTACTTTTATTCTCAATACTGTGTGAGCATGAGACCAGTATAAATTAAATTCATATTGTACTATTAGAAAGTCAGGATCCAGAAGGAAAAACAGAGTAAGTGAAGACATTTAGACGCATTGATAATCTTGAAGAATCTGAATGAACCACATTTCTTGATAAATTCAGATGATGTTTGAAACCTTGAGGATACTGTAAAGAACTGCACAAAAAGATAGTGGGTAATTTCTTTGTTTTTTTTCAAAAGTAATACATAAAATGAACCAAGAACTCCCTAAGTGGTAAAGAAGTTTATGTGCAAAATTCAACCTCTAAATAATAGGAACAGATGCCATCACCAGTCAAGTATATTTTCCAGTTGGGTTTTTTTTTTTTGATTTTTCCATATATCAGCTTGTAACAAACCATCATCAAATACATCACAGAAAATCTAATCTAGCTAGATGTTGCATGGCAATTCCTGTTATAAAAGTGGTGTAGTCTCACAGATTTTGAGCAAAACCTGATTTTGCAGTCATACATGAGTAGCAGGTCTCAACATGAAATACCAAAGCATGATCTAATTATGAAATGAGCTCATCTCTACTAATTGCCCAGAGTTTCAGATTTTCAATCAGTTTCAAACTTCTAGTACATTCCTTCTGTAATCTCTGACTATCTCAATCAGAGATAATCTCAAGACAGTCTAGAGGAGTGCATTCTGCTTCATAACAGATAGTCTTTACTCCTTCCCATTGTGAAAAACTTCCTGAAAATATATAGGTATCATCTAGAGCTATTTTTCAGCAGAGCCATCCCTTATTTATGCCTATTACTGCTTTGGATTTCTTTGGACAATTTTGTTTTATCAACGGGCATAAGGCTCAGTGCAGTTTCTCTGTTTTGTCTTGCTCTTCTGCTCTGAGCATTTGTAATGTAGAAAGCTCCGTGATTTTATTTTTAAGCCATCAGACAAGATACAATTTTAAAGTAAAAAGTAAAGGAGATGCTTACAAATAGAAATCACTGAACAACCTTAAGAAAAGTAGACTATATGATGAAGCTCAAATTTGCTGTCCATCAGAATAATTTTGATTCTATGACAGTGAAGGTAAGTACTGCATGAAACAATCCCATAGGTTAAAGCAAAATATTTCTATGGGTGGGTGCCCATAAATCTTGTTTGCTGACAGAAAAGAATGAGACAGTAGGAGAGAAGAACTAGCAGATGCTGGCAATCATTTTAGCAAGCAGAATAATCTTCAAGGATCATGAGTCAGATAAGGAAGAATGTTATTATTTGCCATCTGCTACTGGTTTATTAGTATGTCAGCATCTGCTGCCACAGAAAGATCTTTGTGATGTGAACGTACAAAGCAAATTTAGACAGTTTTCTTCTGCTGAAAGGAATTCTGTTGAAAGTAAACATTACAGACCTTGCCACTGGTCAATTTGCTTAGTTTCTGATGTATGCTATTTAAAGCTTGATAAAAAGTAAACATATAGAGTTCACCTCAATGATTAAATAGTATAATCTAATCACTAAGAACTGAATAATAATCCCACAAGGTTGGCATTAAAACTTTCTATTCAATTTTGGCTATTTTTTGTTTCCAAATGTCAGGCAGCAAATATCTAAGTTTGAGCAAAGCCAGTTGGTTTGAAAATCTTAAACTGAACAATAATAAAGTGGGGCACAGATCTGCCCCAGCCCAGGCTAGAAATTTGCACACGTATTTTTTTGACAAAATACTATTTGCTTAATGCTGTTACTCAGTGGCAGGATTATCTACGTTCCTGGGGATACTGAAGGATACTAAATACATTCAAGGTGCTAACAATTTCATATTCACGATCAGTATTGCAAGAGAGAACATGAAATTTCAGTAACCATAAGGTGTTGATGGACCCACAGGTTAAACTGTGCAACAGTGCCCACGGAACGAGCTACCCTGTCCTGCATTTATCATTTACACAGCGTGACACAACCCTTGCATGCGAACCAACCTTGTTCAGCAGAGGCAATAGATTAATCTGACAGATTACAGGGCTGAGCATGGAGCTTGCAAGGCATAAATGTACTTACTTTTGGTGTTGGGCAGGATGCAGTGGAGAGGCGAGAGGTGGCTTGGGCACGAGGAGATTCTGAAGGAGTAGTGCTGAGGGACGCTGTGTCACGTGGGAGAACCTGAACACCACGAGAGATGATGGAATCTGGAATCTTAAAAAGAAGAGAGATGCAATTAATAGCAACCATATACTGTATGTAAAACTTACTCAAAACCTTACCTCAAAAACATAGGGATACCTCACTCCTTAGCTTGCACACCTTCTCATACTCAGAGCTTGGCATTGGTTAATGGCATACTCTCCTAATTTCAGTAACAAATACCTAACAAATATATAAGGTCACATTCTAACTGAAGTAGCACAAAACATACCAGTTGTCCTGAAAAACCTATGAATCAAACATACTACAACAGGAAATAATAAGAAAATAATGGTTTCCTCTTCAACTTTTGTTTCAAAGCCAACAATGGCAAACAACAATTTCTTCCATGGCATGAAGGGAGGAAGACTTTCCATTCACTAACTAGGGGGCAATATTCAAAAAATAAAACCATTTGCTAGAAATTTACTGAACCCCTTTAAAGAAACATCATGCAGTGAGAAAATTTCCCACATGGAATATCATGCAGTGAGTAAATACTCTTTATTCCATGAAGACTTTATTTCAGCTGCAAAAATTCTCAGTGTAAGGTTTGTGCTGCAAAAGCTACAGGCCTCTCTGGAGTGAGTAAAGGCAAAAGCATAGAAACCACCATCCAAAGCCAACACTTGGTTTAAAATATGTTCTGAGGGGAAAAATAAAAATTCTGTCTTTTTTACTTCCCACATAATATATTAAAGTGCCAGTTAGGGAAGTATATCCCTTCTGATGAAGAACTGGCAAACTGGTAACAAAAGATGAGGACAAGACTGAGTAAATCAACAACAGTTTTTTGTCTCAGTCATCACAAGCAGCCTCTCTTCCCATACTTCCTGAATGGATGGACCTTAAGCCAGAGGGATGATTAAGCCCCACTCTAGGGGACAATCAGGCTCATGACCACCTGAGGAACCTCAGGAACCTGAACATACCTAAGTCTATGGCACCTGATGAGTTGCCTCCCAGAGTCCTGAGGGAATTGGCTGATGTAATTGCTAAACCACTGTCCATGGCATTGGAAAAGTCATGGCAGTAAGATGAAGTCCCAGGTGACTGGAAGAAGGGAACATTGCATCGACCTTAAAAAAGGGTAGAAAGGAGGGACTGGGAACTGCTGACCTCTCAGTCTCACCTCTGTGCCCAGGGAGATCACAGAACAGATCCTCCTACAAGCCCTGTTGAGGCACATGGAGGACAGGGAGGTGATTTGAAGTAGCCAGCATGGCTTTACTAAAGGAAAATTCTGGGTAAATTCTATCACAGCTAACTAGAAAATGTAGACATTCAGATCTTTGAAGGATTATATATATATACACATGCATATTTTAAGATCTTTCTCCTCATTAAGAATTTCTCCATTCAGCCTGATGTTCAGGTTCTAAGAGGACCTTCAGGAGAACCCCCATGTCTGGGGGAAATGGCAGCAGACAATAAAAGGAAGAAAGGAAGGAAGATCCAGTGGCAACCAAATAATGAATGTTGGGAATTTCCAGACAGGAATTTTTTAAATAAATGGAGATGCTATTACCCAGTCTGCACCTGGTACTAAGACTTTAGGGCAGATGGAAGCCACTGGAAAGTATCCCAGAAATAAGCTTGAATCCTAGCTTTTAGTATGTGTTACATTATTAGAACATTAAGAGAGCTTTCTTGCTTGTCTTGGTGTAGTTAAAATGACCAATCTTAATACTTGTGTCATTAAATACATGTAATTTCCTACTCCTTCAGCTTCCCTGGTTCCCCTCTATAAATAATGTCTATGTCTAATTTAGAAACCTTGACTTAGAAATACTGGGTTATACCTAGGAGATCTTATTTCACCACATACCCTCCTCCTCATGTCAAGAGTTTCTTTTGTTTCTAATTTGTTTATAAGTTGTGTGAAGAGAGGTTTTGTTCTCAGAGTGCCACCAGCTGCCTCCTTTCTGCTCTGCAGTGTTTCTAGACTAACAGTGTTTTTGTCAGTCAGTTTGTCAGCTCTCCTCAGAGGATCTTTCAAGGCTAAGCGTCCCATGCTACAATTTCCACTGTGAATTCTGAAGTCAGCAGAATTTTTTCACTATGGACAACTACACTGGGGCCATCTTCCTCTTCAGAAACAATGCCTAACAGGCCTCTACATGGAGTATTCTGATTTGCAAATCACATCTCAGAGATGGATCTTAGAGTTAAACTAAATCAATGATATTTCAAATGCTCAAATGGTTGGTAGTCAGAAGTATGATTTCTTTCTGTTCACTTTTTCTCCTGAAATCCCGTCTTAAATTCATTAAAGCCCAAAACAGGTTGACAATTCCCAAGTTTTATATTGGCATAGATATTCCCTACAACTTTCAATGCTTCTTTTTAATGTCCATGCCTAAGGAAAATACTTTGAGAAAGGCATAAAATAAAAAAAGACAAAGAAAGAATTGTTTTAAGTCCTCAAATAAGATGCCTTTTCTCTACTCTCTGATAAACAGCTGCACGTGTCTTGATATGATTGTGTACAGGTCCATTACCCCTTTTATGCACTCCTAGACCCCACAACATGAATAACAATATTGCTTTTGCAAATGATATCATGATTCAGTTCTCCCTAGGTTTACTCTGGATATTCTAGAGTAACCAGATATTCATACTGTCTCATATCCTTCAGGCAAGAAACATTCTTTCTTTTATTTCCCACTATACTGATCAATCATTGCTTCAATTTTATCTGATATCACCTTTTTGTAATAAAAACCTCTCTCTGCAGTGAAGTGACTGAGACAATCCCAGTTTCCCTGAACTGCATGTGTAGTACTAATTTTTGCCTGTGAGAAAATTAAAATTAAAGCAAAATTTCAGCCATTATATTAATCAGAAAAGGAAGCTGAAGATAAAGGGGAAAAGATGATTACAGGCACTTAATTTCAATGAGAATTATTTCCAAATCACTACTTTTACATAAAATGCAATTACCAGAAAATACTTCATATATAAATCTATCTAGATTCTAGAGAAAAATTTCTCACTGAGAGCTTGAAGTTAGTTCACAGTAACAAATTTTGCTCTTTTTCTAATATGAAAGTGGAATGTGCTGTATTGCCAAAAGTAGCACTAATACACTCTTTGAACCACTACAACCTGCTGAATTTTGTGAAGGGACTAGTATGTCTATTACATTAACAGAAACACATAAAAATATAATGTAACATGGGAAATGTCTCATTTTTCTCACCTACATTTAGAGAGTTTTTGAATTTTAATATTAAAAAATTAAATTTAGGCAATATAAGTCTCCAATCAAGGCAACTTCTTCTTAACTCTGCTAAAGAGATTAATAAACTCATGAGAAATGTCTGTATGTCCTGGTGCACAGAAACCTGGAATAAAAAAGGGCAGGAATATTACTGCATTTTGGATAGATTGTTCTTTTAACTTTCACTACGTCACACTGAGCATTTATGATTTGTCTCCCTAATATTTTTTATTCATTTTTCAATTTCAAATAAATTGAACATGGAGTAGAGATCTCAAAACTTTAAAAGGGGTCCAATAACATTCTTAGTGAAAATAGTTTCTTGTTTGCACTATCTGGAGTGGAAAACCTGCTGTAACACACTGACAAAGACAGAAATAAACGAGAAATGGATGAAGCGACAGAGAAGGATATTCACCATATCCATCAGTCATTGCTTCCACATATCTGACCTGGTATTTCACTGATGTACTTTTATTTTGGTTTAAACACTTGTGTTTGCATATTAGAGAACTTTTTGACAAGAGTATTGACAAGAAGGGGAATAAGGAAAAGATATGAGTTCTTTATTCTCTTTTGCTCGGAACTGAAACAAAGATTGACAATGATGGTGAGGTAAGAAAACAATCTGTAGGTGGCAGTTACTATGACTTTTATACAAGAGATAAAAATGTCTTAAAAACATACAGAAAGGACAGCTTAAAAAACCCAATAACCTGCCAAATAATGAACCACTTTCTGTTTTGAGTATGAAGATCTGATTTGGATTATGGAATGCATGAAACAATAGCTTAAGGGTAATCTGCAAAAGAGCACAGAAACGTGTATGACAACTTAACAGTGTTCTTCACAGAGGCTATAGATTAACTGTTCTACTGATACTGAAGAATATGGTGCTAATTCTAGTTTAGCAACCTCAACTAGAAAAAAAAAAAATCACTGCAATAAATGTATGTATGTATGTATGTTTCTGTACTATATGACTTTATCATCAGGTATGCGAACTTTAAAGTTTTCACATTTCCTAAGTGACTTTTCAAGAGACACAGAATCATGTTTTAAATACAGAAGTGTTAGGCTATTTGATTGATGGTTTAAATTACTATTTGCCTAAGGGAACAGGACTTTTTTACCATTCACTGAAATAGTTTTCTACTATTCACTAAAACCTAGTAATTTATAAGTCTACTGCTTCCAGACTCTGGAAATCTTCTGTTTTTGAGAAATTTACTTCTACACAGAAAACAAAAATGAAGCTGGGCAGAAACTGCCAGTGATGAAAGCAAACTATGAACATCCAGTGCAAATGCTGTATTGTGTTGACAAAAAAAACTACTAAGAGAAAAGCAGCAGAACAAGAGGAAAAAGTTACCATTTCATGGCTCTAAAGCAGTAATTTTAGGAGATTATTTTAATTATATTGAATTATTGAATATATTAGATGATGAAGCCAGTGGCTAATCAGAAACATAGGCTTTATAGCAAACATTATCTCAGCAGCTAAATGATTCAAAGTGGCAACACACATGACCTTTGCCTTGTTTAGCCCTTTATCTTAAACAGATATTTTCTGCAACGTGTGGTCTCAAAGATAGCACTGATGTGTCTTTGTTAGAAGAAAATAAGCAGCACTGTCTGTTCACACATAGGCTAGGAGGCAGGCAGAGCAATTGGAGTTAGTGTTAGTGCAAAAGCCTCTTGCAAGTGTCTCTTACCAGATCTCCTGCACTGCCTGCTGCGTGATGGCAATAACTGATGAGAGCAGGGATGGGCTGGTGACCTTTAGCCATGATAACAGCTGCACTGGTATAGGATGGATGCTTCTAATGCACAACACATAACAGCTATGAATACAGTGACAGGAAAACATGAAACTGTACAAGCAAATGACCAAAAATGAATGACGCGAAAACAACTGTGACACTGAAATGCCAAGCTCATATGAACACAACCATTTGAGATCTGAGGTATTTCCTGCCTTTAAAAATGGCACATATTATTTATCTTTGCCTGCATCAAAAGAAATTAAACAATTTAAAATTTGCATTCATAGAAACTGATACTTGCAAATGATAATTACCTTAATTCATCCCTGCAAAGACATATGTAATCAGGATTTTCTGTATATTGGGAGATGATCTCCAGCTGCAGCTGTCTTAGAAATGTCAAGATGTCTCAGACCTGAATTCACATTTCTGGAGTTAGAATGTTGCTGCTTTGGTTTAGAAATTGTTTAATATAATTTTGAGTTACTTAGACTTTCAATTCTCATAATAGGAATTAAAAGCATAACTTGTGGAGTAGATATAGAACATAGCAGTTTGGAAAAAACTGTTTCCAAACATACAGGGATACATTATCTTTCCATTCAAAAAACTGAGCACATAAAACTGAGGTAAATATTTATATATTGCTTCACTTAGTACAATAATTCTAGGGAAAATAATTAAAATTTGAATTGCAATTATTTACAATTGTTACTAAATTTTTTTTCTTTTGGAGTATCCAATCTATTATTTTAGTTTGAGTAATGCTGATCTATGATTACAGGTTAAAGCAAGACTATAAAGACATTATGATATTTAGTTTGTTGGCAGAATTTCACATCTTTTTTACAGACATGCACATTGGAATACAGTAATCTGGACAGTTTATTACTTAAATTGTTACCTGTCTGTCATATTTTAATCGCTGTTTTCAGAAACGAAAATTTTAATTTCAAGTTAGATATTATGGGTTGCAAAATTTTTTTGTGATTCCTTAACATGCCGCCTACTGGACTCTGCATGTTCAGGCGTGTGAATACTTTGAATTAAAAAAAGCCACTAAAACCAGTCTGTCACATCAGAATGGTATCATAAAACATATGTTAACACTAAGATAATAAATGACATTTCTCCCACTGGAATTTGAAATCACCTACCAAAACAGAATTCATGTATTTTTATAAAGCTCTACTTCTACAAAATGAACCTGAAATACATCTGTTTGACATGAAGACATCGGTGTATAGTCCTAACATGCAAATGAATATTGGTGGAAAGTGCCTGAGACACAAACTAAAGGGTCTCTTAAGGAAAGAAGCCAGACTCACCTTAGCTGCAATGGCTGCTGCTGTTATGTGTGAAGAAGAACTGTCCTCTGTTGAGGCAACTCCGCTATCCTTCTTCTCTTCCTCCTCTTCCTCACACTGCACTCCTTTGTCTTCTGTCTGTTTGTGAGGGCTGGTGGTTGGAGGAGGAGAAAGAGGAGGTGGTGGTGAAGGCAGATCTTCCAGCTCATCGTGTACCTCCTTTACTTTGACAATGGCATCCCGCAAGAGATCGATGGCGTGAGGTAGGGCTGGCAGTATAAACTGAAAGCATTCCTACGCAGAACGACAAGAGAAACCGCTGTGAAAAGTTACCTGCACATGCAAATATCAGTGTACTCTCTCAATATACGGGGGCTTTAGATGCATCTTTGCACCTGATCATAAATAAAACCGACCATGTCCTATGCAACTGCTATTAAAAGATAAACGAACTCAGAAACAGATCTGGCGAATATTCTGTATTTTGCCTTTTTTTCATGCAAAAACAGTAAATTGCACAACAGGGCTACTGCAATGAAGCTACTACTGAAAACAAGAGTTACATTTCTGTGAATATGTAATATAGGAAACAGTTCACAGCAACTGGCAGAATGCTACAAAAATGCAGAAGAAAAACACTATATCCCTGATGGTTTACTAGCTTCAAATCTTTCCTATTATGCTCCCTCACAATTAGAGAACAATCCATAAGGGTTTCCATAATTACACTTTTATATAATTATATAAATTTCTATTCATGGACTTATTCTATATACTGGAAGAATGACAAACTACAATGATGTCTTTATAATGCCATGCAACTAAAAAACCCCAAAATTTCATAAACAAGCTATTTTTCAAACCTCTCCTTTTTCTATAATCTATAATCTATAATTAAAAACAATTAGAAAGTTTGTTTTATGTGGCTGGAGAACGCAAAATTGCAGACATTTTGTTCCCTAATGGGCATACAGGTAGCTACCATACATATAGCTGCCTATGCTGCTAAAATATGCTGCTGTTTCAGGAAATCAAAGTGGAACCTCAGGATGTAATGTGCTGCAGCTCCTGCTCAGATCAGGGTCAGTATGAAACTCAGGCTTCTTAAGGCTTATTCAGTAAATTCTTGAAAAACAATCCAAGAACAGAGATTCCATAAGATTTGTTGACAACATGCTTTAATACTTAATTACCCTTGAAGCGTTTGGGGGTTTTTCCTGTTTTATTTCGTTTTGCATTTGTTTTCTTTTTCATCTGGAAGCTACCTCATTCAATTTGTGACTACTATTTGTCTCTCATTCTTCTCCCAGGCACCGCAAGTAAAAGTTGCCTTATGTCATTTGAGGAGATTGCATATAAACATTTAAGCATTGGAAAATGATGGCAGAATCACAAGAAATTGCCATGGCAGTGCAGTCAGGAACATACAGGCTGACAGACAAAGCTGGCACTGCTCCCTTTGTTGCCCTCCAATTTTATTTCAAGCATAGGAAGATTTTTTAAAATGTATTCTGATATTTTAGAGTATCCAGAAAATAAATAATAATAGTAAGTTCATAAATAGACAATGAAATAAATATTTTCAATAAATAAACACAACTACATAAAATAAAAAGCAAAGAATCCATCAGAAATTACTGGAGTTTATATATTCCATTTTGTAAGTAAAACATGACTCACAAGCATTATATTTCAAAGCTTCTAAATAAGAACACATCTTTCAGTTGCTTCTTTAAGAGTAATAAATGGTAAGTCAGACTACCTCATAGATTTATAAATTCTTTAAACATTCAAGATGGCACTGAGAAGAACTGAAGTAAACAGATGAGTACAAATGGTGTATATAATGAATGCATATAAAAAATACTTGTAAAGATAATAAAGACTTAAAATGTAACTGCAAACTGCAGAGTTTTTGTGCCTTCACAGTATTACTTTTAAAATGGCTTAAAATAATGAAGCATACAATCATCATTACTTTAGCAAAGCAGATCTCAAGTAGATGAGAAACAAGAACAACGTCTGAACTGACCAATAACTGTGAAAAAATACACTAATAATTGACTAATCAAAAAGCATGCTCCCCCCTTCAAGCACTCAAATAAAGACTTGCTGGCTTGAGTATTAATGCACAAATTCCCTGTAAATCCTCTAAAACCTCATGTTACTTATGAAACTCTTTGTTTTAGGCAATTGCTACTACAATTATAAAATGTCAAAGACTTAATAAACAGCTGATCATTTCACACTTTGCCCTCTTTCATAACATCAACTGTCTTTTAAAAGACTAAAAAAAAAATCCAACACAAAATTGGAAGATTTCTACAGATCTGCATTCAATGGTACATGTCACACAAATGCTCTCTGCTGAAAACGTTTGGCATGCAGTCCATTTTTGAGATGAAGCATTTACACTGCTGCCATTTTCCATTAATATTTTATTAGAGAAATATGTATACTGCTGCAATTTCATAGCTTCATATAAGTTTCTCATATGATCGTATTTATACAATGCAAAGGAAATTAGCAAGTGGTAAAAGAGAAAAATGAGTGAAATTCCTGGTGACAATCTGTCGTTTTTGGTTCTTGAGATTCAGCCTTTTATGGACCAATTTTCTCCACTCTTCATCTTAAAAGTCTTTGCTGAAATCTGAGACTTTACATATGTCTCATACTAAAAGAAATCGTGACAGGGCAGAGTATCATAACGACAGGAAATCAGTTTATCAGAAGCTTGCTTGCATGATGCAATCATTGGACTTTTTTCTTTTCCAGCAGAATGACCTTTTTTATTACTCACCCTGTATCAATCTATTGTTAAAATACTTATTAATACTTTTTCATTTCTTTTCCTCATTCACTTTCTGCAATTTACCTATCTTCAAAGTCTGATTGCCTCAGGACAGAAAACGAAAATTGCTTCTGTGGGCTAGGAGCGCTGCTAAACACAATAAAAAGCATTAGAGATTGTAGGCTATTTCATCTCTCTCCTAATTCAGTAAAAGAAGTATTTACTTGTGAAATAACTTTCTTACTGCTGCATCACTTCTTTAAAATGGGAGGCCATTGCTATGTTAAATACATGTACATACATATGATTTCTCACATATAACTGGAAGAATTTCAAGAAGATATACTCCCACTTCACCATCCTTCAATGCCTCTTGTGTGTTTTGAAGGCTTTTACATTTCCTTTAAATTACAGTCTCATTAGATTTCCAGAAAAGCTGTAAGGAATGCTAGAATCATAGGAGGGCTCACACTGAGTCCTCGAACTGAAACATGCCAACAGTGTATCTGAAACCCCATGGAGGCTGCTAAAGATCATAGCATTCAAAACATTTCCTCTTCAACTTCCAGGTGACAGCCCACATAAATGTTGTTTTTGTATCTCCAGACAGAAGGCTAAGAAACAGCAACTTCAGGGCTGTGCTGCTGAACACGTTAGTGCTGCCTGCTCCGTGCCTGGGTGCCACAGGTCCAGGAGATGTGTGCCAGGTATGCATTGCTGAGAGGCCAGAGGTAGAGACATTTATTAACAAGGCCAGATGTAGTCTGAGCCCTGAAGAAATAGATTCTTGTGACTGATGGGGGACCTTCCTCAGCAGTTTTGTATCAGGCTGTACAGATCACTATTCAGCTTTGCAGTATTTCTGTGGAGATTGTTTTTCTATCGGCTAACTACAAAGAAATTAGTGAAAGATCAAGTCTTACTAACATACACACAAATCCCTGCTGGAGTTTAATTCTGTTCCTCTCAGCTATAGAGACAGCTAGAAAGCATGAATAAAGGCAAAAATTCTAAATTCTCTGTCCAAACAGAGCAAAATGCAGGAAGAAAACAAACTGTATAAAGGGTGAAAAGACAGATACACCCATACAGAGAAGATTTAAAAACATTCTCAAACTCTTAAAGTTATGTTCCCTTTCTTCCCTCTTGCTGATCAAAACTGTGAATGCTCCAGCAAGTTCTACCATATACTGTGCATTCCTCTTACTTCTGTGTGAAAAATAATGATTTCTTGGAAGCTGGAGACAACCCAGAGATAAGGTACAGCTAATTAGATAAGAAAGAGTAAAAGTGTAAGAGATCATTAGACTCTTAATCAGCACTGCCTGCTCAAGTGAGTGCTCTCTTACACTACATGTAATGTCCTGGTCACACAGCACCTTCAATCACATTGGAGTTGTATGGTCCTTGGCTAGGAGTGATGGTGTGGCAACCTTACATGAATATGCATTTCAATTCATTTTTGAAAAATTTGTTATAGTGGGCACTTTCTACCATTCAAAACAAGGAGAAATGCTCATCATAGCTCCTTCCTAGCAGATCAGTAAGAATATTTCTTACCTGTGACCCTTTCTTGCTACCTGGAAGATTAATTATGAGAGTTTTCCCTCTGATTCCACACACAGGCCTGAAATAAAAGAAACACAGACTGAAATTCTTGCATGCAACTATTTCCACTATCAAAACAAAAGGAAAGCATTTAAGATAAATTTAAGATAAATCTATGATTCTATATCAGACTTTGTAAACCTAATTTCCAATATATTTGCTGACTATGTTCTCATAAACAAACTTGGGAGAAGTTGAGCTGAAAAAGCATAAAAGATTTACAGGGTCTAACATTAATTTTATGGTATAAACACTGGCTAGATTTCCATCTTTGATATCTGTGTAGCTCCCTTAATTCTACTGTTTACTTGCATCCAATACATTATTTGATATAGTCCCTATTTGGTCATATTTGGCTCCTTTGCAGTGAAACTGACCGTGTCAAACATGATGTCCCTGGCCACGTAAAAATACTAAGTTGTGCTCTTGCATTAATTCAAATATGTATTTTTTATTTAAAGATTAAACATAAGAAAAGCAGAGAAGGAAGTATCTCTCAAGTGAAAATTGTACTTATGCAATTCATATATAATTCTCCTAATAGTTTTCCCCTCTCCCTCAAGAAAAGGCAAGACCAACTATCAAAGTTATAAGTTTTTATTTTATTTTTTTGTCTTTTAGAAATTCCTTTGTTGTTGATGTAAAAATGAACACTCAAGTACTGAGTGCTTTCTATTGTCTAGAGTTTGACTATTCAACATTTTGGCTAAATGTAAAAAAGAAAAAGAAACTAAATTTCAGAATTTTGTCTTGAGGTTGTAAAGAGTGCTTCCACTGTTTACAAAAGCCAAGGTGAAAAACCCAGGACTGGGACACAAAATTAAGAAAAATGTAAGAGGACAAAACTAAAATATGAAGATATGGAGGTTACAAATTTGAGCCAAAGGACATGGCATGTTGGTAGCCAACTTCCCTGGATTTCTTCTTATACAAATAACTTTCAGTGATTAATGTCATTTATTGGTTGCATGGCATTTTTTAGCAGGGTAACAAGTATTTCCACGACAGCTGTCACAATGCTCACAAGTAAATAGCACAGAGATCATCTTTGTGCCACTAAATGAACTTTTAATATCAAACTCAAGCCAGCCTGAAGTGTTGTTTTCAAATAGCAGTTTGAGTATTGCCTGACTCCTGACCTCTCTTCTCATATTGCCTTCTTTCACACTATGTACCCTCAGTTTAGAAAGAATTCCAGGTAGCTGAGGAATCTCTAGTGCAGCACAGAGATGAGCCTGAAGGAAAGAAATGTGTTCATTTACTCCTGTTGCAGTTGTCAAGCTTACAGAGTACAAACTCAATCCAGCAAATCCCATATGGGGGTTACAGTTTATGGCAGATTTAAAACAAAGGAAATAAGAACTGTCCACAGAGGAATAAAAATGAGGTGGAATTGTGTTTGGCAGACAGCTTCTTTAGTAATTGTCTTCTTGGCTCTTCCACTCTGCTTTAAATATTTTTGAGCGTTATAAGCTAAATATCCAACCAACCAATAATAAAAAAAGGACTAAACCAGCCAATAACCAGACCTAATGGCTCAAGAGAGAAATGGAGCTGCCAAAAATTCTCAAGAGAGCATGCAAAAGTAAGTAAAAGTGCTCAAGAACTGTGTGGCTGGCAAAAGTATTGTGTGTGCTTTCAAGAAAACCCCATAGAGTGTGCATGCATTCCAGATACTTTGAGAGATAAATTAATTATATTCCTCCAGATGTAGGAGAGTACAAAACATTTGTCTTTATCAAAAGGATTTTTTTGCCAAATAAAGCATTTTAATACCTGATGAACAACATACAGAAAAATTCTTCACTCACCACCAAAACACCACAATTCTAGAATGAATAGATATCTATTTAAGAGTGCAACAATATTACAAATAACCTGGTACAGAAAATACAGGAGGATACAGTCTCTAATAGAGACAACAAAGTGAATTTAATGAGACAATGCGATTACTGTTATTTGAATTTGGCGCCCTCTCTGAAGTTAAGGCTTCTAGTCCTGATAACAATGGCAGTCTTCAATGATTTCTGCACAGCCATGGGATAACAGTAAGTAACTCTGTGGAAAGAGTTCACCTCATATTTTGAAGAAATAATCTTACCTAGAGAGCATGCCCAGAGGTGTAACATTAAGTGATCCCATCAGCATTGCCAGGGCCATCCCCGGGGCTTCTCGCTCTATTACTTCTTTAGTGGCCTGCAACCAAAGATTAAATAGCAAACTGAGTGAACAAGTGTAAGGATAAGAAAAAAATGAAACCAGATAAAAATTGGGTAGGAATAGCTCCTCATTTTTTTCTGGCAAGAAATGTTGTTGCTAAGTTTTCAACTGAAATACGCTATAGAATTTTCTCTCAGCTGTGTAAAATATGGAAAGATAAGGAGTTGGGATGAAGGACTGTTAGCAGCACTGTGAAGGTTCCTATAGAATGTTATAAAAGTCAGGACCCTATAAATATAAAAAGTGTTAACCAACACCACAGAAATAACAACTGCCTCGAACAGAAAGGAAAAACTGGTTGAGAATAAGCAAAAAAAGGACCCAATGTAACTGCCTTCTCTTCCTCATCAACCTTGTGCATTTTCCTGTTGAGATTTTCCCAGGCATGAGAAGGATGAATCAGTCTGTGTAGAAGACAGAAAAAAAAAATTTGCAAAGGGAAGCCCATGTAGCAGGCAGGCAGGAAAATAGTAAAATGGTAATGATAATGGCCAGAGGCTGAGGCCTTCCCTTTTGATTATGTCAGCAAAACAGCAGTTCCAAACAGGCTGGTGGCTTTTATTCATAAGCAGTCCATACGCAGTGGGCATTGAGAAGTCTGGAAGCAGAGTCTGAAAATTCTTGTCTTTTTAGTCCTTTTCCCAAACAGGGAATCAGATGGAAAATCATGCACAACCTTCTGTCCTTACTCCTAACACAAATTTTCTCAAATGCACAATCTGTCCAGTCTCCCAACACCTAAGTTAGGACACAACTTAAAAACAGGTTACAGTCCTATCCTCTCTTCATTTCCCCCACAGTAGCTGCTGTTTAGTGGATCACATTGCTTCATGCTCTGAAACAAGATTCTTATTCAGCATAACTAAATTGGTAGCAATGGCCATAAAACTGTGAAATCCATGGCATAACATACGGCCAAACTATAATGCTTTGATGATACAACTATCAAAATTGAAATTGAAAAAAAAATCTTAAATACAAGGACACCCTGAATAAGCTGAATTTTCTTCACACTTTGACATAGAATAAAAAATGAGGCAAATTATTTTGTGGGAAAGATCCAATTATAAAGCACATATGTGTATTTTTGTAAGCCATTAGTTTACAAATAGAAAATTAAAGTCCTAGAGAAGGAAAATGACAGAATTAACTCATCGGCGTCCCTAAAAGAAGGACGCTTACATGTAGGGGCACTTACATGAAGCAATAAATAAAACAGAAAAAGAAAAGCAAATCCATCAAGAGTACAGATATTCAAATGGCCATATTCTCAAACATGGTCACTAGCTTTTGACATTTTTTAAAGGAATATCAGAATATTAATTAATTAGAAAATAGTATCAGTGTTAGAAGACATAAGGTATTGCTACCATGTAAACCTTTGAGTACTTTATTAATAAGCAAACTTGTTATGTGCTCAGTTATGGGAAGCTGGAACTTTGGTTTTTATAAAAACCAAGCAATTTTAATTTAGTAACTGACACTACAGTCTCCTGTATTTCAAGTATAGCATGTTGGTATTTGCATCTGTCATCCTCTACAAAGAAACAGAAAAGTCATAGAAATACAACCCAGTGACTGCGTTTATACAGAGAAAATAAGAAGTGAGCTTGGAATGATGTAGACAAAAATAAAACTCCTCCATGGAGAGAGATTACCTTAAGATACTTGCTGAGGTATGAAATCATCAATCACATTAAAAATTCTTAAGACATCCATAGACCTGATGATTTTTATAATATAGAAGATAAAGGCATTGCAATGGTGAAGAGACACTTTGCTGACTATGAAAAGGTTAGTGAAACATAGAATTCTCTGTGTGTGCATACATAGCAAGTCTGCATCTATGCCTTTTCATTTCAGTTAATACCATGCTTCAAAGCTATTCAAAACTGTTTTTAAATATAAAGTGCATTTTGAGATTTATTTTCTGCCCTTGAGCACAGTGACACTTTGAAGATATCATTAGTTAAAATTCTAAGCAGTCTTCAAAGGTAGTACAAGATGCAAGACGGTCCATAAACAACAATCTTGCAGCTCAGGGAGTCCTTCAATGAAATTCAAGTCCATTCTCCAACTTCAGAAGAAAAATGACCTTCACAAAATGTCACTGCTAGCAGGCAATGTGATTATTAAAAATGTATAGACTAAGCAACAAAATCTGAAAGGGCATAAAGTCCAAGCATCAGTATGATCCTCAACACAAGTTTCTAAAAATAGTTGTTTCAAAATATATATGCTTATATTTATTACTGCAGATGGACCTCTACAAAGGGAAACGTTTCATTTTTTCATGTTTGCATCTGACTGGATGGATGGAACCAAAAAAAGCTGCTGCTAAGTAAACCACTGTTACAGGGACGTCTGCTCTTGGAATTAGCCACTGTATAGTCCACTTTTGGGATGTCCTCAAAGAACTTTCCGTGTGCCCTGAACAGGAATTGAAATTGCCATCACACTGGGAAGCTATACATATACATCACACTCTAAATTAGCTATTTCACCTAACAATGGACCAAAGTGTTTGTGGCCAGGTTTTCTCATACTTCAGTGTTTTTTGTTTGAAGTAAGGATGAAAGACAGATGTCAAATTTAGGTTTTCATCTGTGTCCAGTTCAGGAGTTAACTGTTGGGTACCAAGACATGCCTCCACGGAAACCATTAAGGAATTAGTGATTCAGCACCTTCACATTTTACCAGTACTGTAGCAAGGCTGAATTAAGACTGTTCAACCTTGTTTCGTGGGCAATTTTTTTGTTGGTTGTCTCACCACCAGCCAGCTGTGGTCTGCTGCAGGGGGCCATAGTGTTGGCACAGAATGAATCACAAATCAAGGCTGTTGCCCTCGGCTCTCTTACAACAGCAGGGATGACACTGTTGGGCAGATGCAGGAAAAAATGATGGTACTTCGTTCAGAGCTGTCACACTGATGCCTTAATCAGGACTGAAGCTTTACACTGATTCTCAAACCTCAGGCTGACCTACTCAGGTAGGTGGAAAATACTGGAGCAAAACTGCATAAAACACTAAAATGACATCAGAAAGTGTCCCCAGCTCCTGACAGATAAGTTGGTGCAAAGAAAGGAGCATATAAGAGGGAGGCAAAAGAGAGGACTTCCACAGAAAAAAGAGTACTTGAAAGTAAAAGCCAGAGTTCAGGAAAATGACAGAAATGCAGAAAGTCCAGCTTGGAGGTTGCAAAAAAAGGCAAGGTTTGTAGTTCAGAGAGGAGAAGGGAATGTGGGGAGAAGGAAGCTAAAGTGGAAAGGTAGAATTGCAGGAAATTCAAGCAGTAGAATTGTCAGAAAGGGAGAAATGAGAATAGCATGAGGGCAAGTGAATGAAGTGAGTGGGATGGAAAACAGTGGGGAGGTTGGAACTTGAGGATCTTTAAGTTCCCTTCAAGCCCAAACCATTCTATGGTTCTATAAAGAAAGCTGCCCAAGGCAGCCTGGACAGAAAATAGATGAGGAAGAAACTCAGGAGAAGCAAAAAGGGAAGACAAGACATGACAGAAGTGTCAGGGTGTGGGGGAGCCACGGGGAGAGACAATGGGATTGAAATAAAATGCTAGTTTCTACTCCAAAGAGGAGAAGTAGGGACAAACAATTTAATTATATAGGATTTACTAACAACATCTATGAGAGTAGTACCTCTTATATTTCATTGCTATATGAATAAATGCAAGTGATTTTAAAGCACATTTTTGATTGTTTACAAAGTGCCTTTTTATTGGAGTTAGGGCATTATGTTCCCAAACCAACTGGTATATTTTTAGATATCTTTGACGTAGTTGCGGTTGCTTAACAGATGGCTCACTGCCAATTGGTTTCACAGAGTTCTCTGCTGCTTCACTGCCTTTCTTTGCCTCCACATAAATTGTTAGCTCAGTTTCTAACCTGTGGAAGCCCTCCCAGGCAGTTTTTGGAGGATATACCTAATGCAGACTGATTTAATTAATAGACCTAGGACTACTCTTCTGTTCAGAAATTCCTTATCTTTGTCTTTCAGGTATTAAGTATAGCAAAATTTGACCTCAATAGTAAATAACGACCTGAGACAGTTCATATACTCTTCAGCTGGTTTTAGGCAGTAATATAGTTTTACTTCTTCAACTTAAATGCAAATATGAGACTCAGAAATCATAATAAATTCAATTAAATTGAGATGACAGAGCCTGTCTCTGTGGAAAATATTTCTGTTGAACAAGTTAAAATCTATGACTTTGCACAGTATATAATAGAGCTATAGATGCAAATTAATGGACAAATTTGTAGATAATTTATATTTAACAGACTAAAGCATTAGCATCAATAAGATTTAATTACCTACTTGAGCTTTCCACTGAAAGCTAAAATCTTGGAAGGGCTTTACCAAAGAAATACCTATAAAACCTCTGCAACTGAGCTCACAGACCACAGAAGAGCAGAGAAAAACTAGAGACACAGATCAGTCAAATATGCAACAAAAAGGTCAGTCACGTCTGTCACCCAGTTGTGTAAGAAGCGTGTACTTCAGGAATAAAAAGTACATCTCTCAGCCTGGAGATGAGATGCCTTCTTCAAAGTTATTCAGAATATCTCTGCTGAGACAACACACGTGCCAGTAATTTTTATTCACAAATCAGCTATTTCAGCTTATTGTCTACTTCCCTATTCTTATCTTGCAGGGAGAAAATAGAGCTTACATGGAGCTAGACTGATTAGAGCTTCCCACCAAAAAACCCTTATCTATTTCTTCTACATAAACACTAAGAAATACAGGTTTCAGCAGTTGTTTCTTTCAATACATTGGAAAGTTGTTTGGATACGGATTTTGAATTCATCTCAGTTTCACCATTATGCTATCTTTCCTTGAATTCTTCCTATTCTTTGTCACCAATAACCTGTATGGTGATATTCAGTGTCTTTATTTTATGGATGTAAGGCATGACAAGACTTGTGGTCTTCTATGTTTTCCAAAATCAAATTTCTTTG